AACTTTCACATGATAAAATGTGATCAAAATCTGACTAAATTAAACACTGAATGGAGGCGGGGAGGGGGTTGACGTATTGTTAATACATTTTACGGCTCACATCATAAAATGACGTCATAATTGCGACAGATACACATATGTACCTATATGTATGTACAAATGCATATTCATTGTATCCTTCAATTTAATCGTAAACATGTTAGACATACATATCATAGTACACTCAGTTACTGAAAAACATCACTGAAACTAGCTAGATAAAACTTTCGTGATGACGTCTATGCTGCAGTGTCTAGTTTATACGTACGTAAATACATGTAGAATGTTAATAACACTGTCCTGTGTAGAATTTTCAACTTTTAAACAAAAAAACAATAATAATAATGATATGCCTAGGATAACTTTTCAATAGTTGGTTTGTAAGGATTAGATTTGTTTCTGACGAGTTGATCATGGATTGATGCCAGTTAGAGAACCATTGAAAATCAGCCACAGGGAGTACTGCCAGACAGCTGTTTTCAGTGTCTTAGTTTAGGAATCACCCACCACAGGGGTTCAAACCCAGTACCTTCATGGGCTGAATGGTATACGAGCTTGCCTTGCGACCGGTAGATCCTGGGTTCGAACCCCTGTGAATGGTGCGTACTGCCGATGATTCACAAACTAGGACAAAGGAAACAGCTGTCTGGCAGTACTCCCTGTGACTAGTTTTCAATAGTTCTCTAACTGATATCAACCAATGATCAACTCGTAGGATAACTTTATTATAATATAATCTGTCTTCAAGCTCTATTAACTTCGTGCTTGTTGATAACTCCGAATAGCAGAAGCCATAGAAATTCATTTAAAACAGCTGGAGCTTAGTGTATATACAAGAGAAGCAAGCCTAGTCACTGTTGCTACCTTGATTTGCCGTGGAATATGTACAAAATCATAAGTAATGTAGTGCATCATACCTTTCAAGGACGACATTCTGTTCTGTATAAACAACAGTCGCTCATTTATTAATATATGTGTAAAACTTGGGCACTGTGGTAGTAAGTAATTCCATATTAGTTTGTTTATTAGGTATATCACACAGTGAAACAGTATTATTTACTGGATGACAATATTTCGAACAAAATTTATTGTTCATAATCATATCAATTGTAATCACACGACTTTGACACTTGAGTTTTATAGCTTTCTTTGTTCTCTCCTATTTGTCGTAGGGGGAGTAGAATTTTCCAGATATCGGGGACAGGTGATGAATCATTCCTATTACATGTATTTGTAGTTGATTCGATAAACAAAGCTTCTGTTATCAATCTCTCCCTCCACCCTGTGACATTAGATTTTAAAACTGTCATCCTATCCCGTCCTATTGTATGGTTGTGTGTGACTGCATGTAGTGCTATAGCTGAACTATTCTCTAGATTTCTTATCTTATTCGGGTCAACCAATCTAGATTTTGCTAAGTTTTTATGTTCAGCTAGTTTGACTACTACTACTACGTCTACTAGTTTGACCTATGTACTTGACCTAACAATCATTGCAGGGTATTAGATAAACTAAATTGTTTTGTTTCAAAGGCTCTACAGGATCCTTTAGCCGACAAAGCTTGTTTCTAATTGAGTTTGTGGGTTCGAATGCCGTTTTTATTCCTGCCTTGTCGAGAATTCTGCGTAAGGCATACGTCATAAACATAGACATAGGTCAAATACATAGGTCAAACTAGTAGAACAGGGGAAGTCAAACTAGCTGAACATAAAAACTTAGCAAAATCTAGATTGGTTGACCCGAATAAGATAAGAAATCTAGAGAATAGTTCAGCTATAGCACTACATGCAGTTACACACAACCATACAATAGGACGGGATAGGATGACAGTTTTAAAATCTAATGTCACAGGGTGGAGGGAGAGATTGATAACAGAAGCTTTGTTTATCGAATCAACTACAAATACATGTAATAGGAATGATTCATCACCTGTCCCCGATATCTGGAAAATTCTACTCCCCCTACGACAAATAGGAGAGATTTAAAGCAATTAGTTCCCTTTATGAATTTCGACAACACAATAAGAAGACGTAGTTTATCTGAAACGTGTAATGTAGGAGAGAACAAAGAAAGCTATAAAACTCAAGTCGCTCATTTATTATTATTATTTATTCAATAAAATTTCTCCGATTCAATCTCCAGTGTACCTTTACACTTATACAAGCAAATATTTGAATTTCTGGATTTAGCCTTGGTTACTTAGTCACGCACGCACACACACATACACACACACCGAACCTCACACCCCATTTTCTCCACCCTTTTGATATTGTCCTTCAGTCATAAGAAATTTATAAACAGTATGAAGATCGAAGCAACACGAGGTTGCTTACTATCACCTATGACACATTTCTAATTTTTGTGGACTTAGGGGGACGGGAAGACGGGTACATGCTGGACAGAAAAGAAAAGACTCCAAAAGACCTAAACATCACGGGTGATTTATACCTCATGTCTTATAGAATCGAAGATCTATAGGTTACATCCGAAATGTTGACACAACAAGCAGCAAAGCAACGATAATAACAAGAGAAAGAAGACAGAGTTGATGGAGAACCCCAACCGTCAACTGCAGACACCAGTCACCATCAGAGGAAGAAGTCTGAAGGAAATCAATACTTTCACTCTGTTTTAAATACAGGCGGAACGGATAAGGATGTGAAAACCAGCCAGAATCAGATAGGCAGGACAGACTATCATTACTGTGAAATCAGTTTGGAAATATTCTGAACTCAGCATAAGGAAGAAAATTAGAATTTCCAACATCAATCTGAAGTCACTTCTTCTATATTTGGGTCAGAAATTTCGCGAAAGCGTCATGGAAAGTATTTATCAACAGATGGCTTCCCTGGCTTCCTACTGAAAATAAGATGGCTGGCCAGAAAGAATTAGAAACAAAAAAATTCTGAGAATAAACCAACTATGAACCTATTACACAAAAAGTATGCCTAAGAAGACGAAGTAGGTTAAGACACACGCCGAGGAGACCGTTGGGTATCATTGCGCTCTAGGCCATCACTTCAGTGGAAGCCAAATAGAAAACGACGAATTTGGAGGAGATCGTGTGAAAAGCAGGTGGAAGCTTACAGGCAATCGTGAGCCCAGATGAAGAGGACTGCAGAGAACAGGAATTAACGGAGAAGTGCTGTTGAAGCCGTATGTTTCACTCGGAACTCAAGGAATTAGTAATAATAATGATGAGTAAAATTCACTATGAACCATTATAAACATTGCTATTCATAATCGTTTACTTTCATATATCTCGCGTTCAATTTAGTACCCTATTTAAGCATTTAGGCAGGCTGATGGTAAACGACATGTTGCTAGTTTATTAAAAATACATTTGAATAAACACGTCCAACTACTGGTTCACTTATAATTCTAAGTCTTTTGAATGACTTAACAGAATCGCATATAACATTGGTCATTTAAGCACATGTTTTTTTGCATGGAGGATTTCATCATGAGCTGACATCAGTTATCCTCCATGCAATCAAACAAAATCCCTACAAAAACCAATACTTGAAAATTAATCTGATGCTCACTAGCGACTGACCCTATTCAGGCAGTTAACCTGGGGTTCTAGTGGGAAGCCGTGACCAGTAGGGTGCAGCAGGTTGAAGGTGAAGCAATAACTCACCGAAGAAAACATTGCGAAATGGTCGCGCTGTGTCGTGCGTGAATTGGTAGAAGTTAGAATTCATGGGCTGGCCACTGGATTGGTTCCCAGTGGCTCAATGGTCTACGAGCTCGCCTTGTAACCAGAAGGTCCTGGGTTCGAATCCCGGTGGGTGCGTACTGACGAAGAGTCCCAAACTAGGACGAAACAGCTATCCAGTACTCCCAGGTGGTCTTCCAGTGGTTCTCTAACTGATGTCAGCTCATGATGAAATCCTCCATGCAATCAAACAAAATCCCTACAAAACCAATACTTGAAAACATGTTTTTAATTATAATCCATTAACAGACAATATATATATATACACCTTGGAAGGAATTCTCGTGTTAAAGAATTAGACGTTAATCAAAAAGAAACATTGATGTTGTCAATAATAATAATTATTTCTCTAACATTGATGGATATAAAAAGTGTAGCACCTGGGGAATTTCTTCTAAATAACATTACACATTCACCAACTAATCAGTGTTATGAGAATAGACAGAACCTGGTGAATAGATCAACTTCGTGGTTGAAGTGATTCTTCGTTTGATTAGTATTCCTTCTAAGAGAATCAAGATGCATGTTGTTGTTTTTTTCAACCTTAAACACCATCCCATAGTCATCATCAGTCTTCTAGGCTTAAGGGATTACAGGCGGTTTGTTTGACTGAGTAACGCTTCAGTCTGTGGAACACCCAGCAGATAGAGTAAGAGAGTTGATATTAGACAGTTGGAGGCTATTGGCAGGAAGCCTTACACCTAGGTTTCGTGCTTGCTTGTTGACAGTCACCAGTTAGCAAGGCGAATCTGCGACCTTGAGGGAACTTATGTCCTCTCTGAGATTTAAACCCGCATTACCCAGGGCCGCAGACACAGATGTTACCAAAAGAGGCTATCGCGAGGCCGAAAATACGCTCTACTGACTGGTGACTGTCAACAAGCAAACAAGAAACCTAGTTCAGGCAAGGCTTCCCACCGATCACCACTAACCATCTAATAGCAACAGTTCAGGGTGATGGCAAGCCATCTAGAACGGTGGTCACATTGCAAACTTGACTGACAGAACTAAGTCTGCACCGAACAAAGCCCTAGACACATTACACCAGTTACTAACAGTGTCCAATCACAGTGAGAGAAAAAGTTACCAGGTGGTGAGTTGCAAAACAGGAGGAAATATACGTGTGGCAGAGATTCCTCCTGGTACACAAAATCTGCTATCATGAGTGTGAGCGTGTGTGTGTGTGATTAGAACGAGAAAAAAGAGCAGAATAGATTACGTAATATACTTTTCTATTACTCACCTGAAAGTTTAATCTTTTTAACAGTTTTATTTGAATTATTATCTACCAACACGTTGATTTCAATCGACTCTCCATGATAATATTTCTTTTAAACAAGAAAATATATATTTAAAAAAAAAACAAGTAAATATTTTATTAGAGAAAAAGAAAACTAAAAATAGATTTTAAAAAATAAATGGATCAAATCATTATGAGATGCAAACCTAATCAGAATAAGCTGAAGTTGGACCACAGTGAAGCTATTCGCTTGAACGAACAAACTAATCATCTTGAGAAGACTGACCAATCACATTTAAATGGAGAAAATAGGTGAGAGAAGAGAAATTTTATTTGAAAAAAAAAAGAAAAACACTGAATAGGATACGCTTTTTATTTAACAGGCTTTAAGAATAAACCCGCAATTTCTGATTGAAGCATCAATGGAATGGTCGAAACTAATCCTACACATATTATTATTATTGCCTTAGGTTCCAAATGGGATATCTGGCTTTTCCAGCACATTGGAATTTCCTCCCTGTTGTCTATAGTCCCAGCTGGCTCCACGACTGCCTGTGAATCTCCTCACACAATCACTTCCATGTTAGCCTTGTGCCTCCAACTCCTAGCTTTACATTCAGGTCCAGCTTGAGGGCTTGTCACGTGATGTCACACAACGGTCATCTCAGCATGTGTCCAGTCCACTCCAAATTGCTTCGGCATATTTCTTGGGCAATAGGTTGTTGATTGGTGTTGATGCCAGAATTCCTTGTTGCTTAAGTCCTCCTCTAACCATCCCTCTGACCTGTGGCATGAATCGGAAGCAGCTATTGATAAAAGTCTACAGCATGTTGGAAATTCTTTAAGTGAGGTTGAAAGTCTTCAAATTATAGAGACATCAGTGTTGAGAATCCGATAAAACTTCCTCTTTATCATGAGTACAGCAGATTTCTACATTGATTTCAAGTCAATGAAGGCTTCTCTAGCTTTTTATGGTCTTACCTTCGACATTCTCATTCGATGTTGCCTATATAAGTGAGAGAATTGATTAACTCAGGATTTCTTCCGTTGATGGTGACTGGTGCCTGTAGTTGATGGTTAGGAGCCCTCTTCGCTGTTTGTTCTGCCAAATTGTCGGATTTCTCCTGTAGATCTTCTATTTAATATGACGCTAGTCATGTATTCGAGAGTCTGCCTTTCAGTCAAATGTATGCCCCTCTTCACGCTCCTTTCATGATCCACTTCACCATAATTAGGAATAACATTTGTGGTGTTAAGCAGCTCTGTCTTACTTCTGACTTCACATCAAAGGCTTTTCTGGGATTTGGGTTCTAATTCACTTGGAATGCGGCAGCATTATATAGCTGTTGAATGAAGTTGGCAATGGTGTGGAGCACTCCTCAGTATCTTCTGATAATGTCACCTCCAACTGAGTTTATAAATTTACATGCACTTGCGGAAGCTAGTTCACTGGAAGAACAGAAAGAAGGGCTTCCATCCGGTTTTCAGAGTATATTCCAAGAAAATTGTCCTCTAAAGGAAGCAGATATTCGCAAAGTGCAATTACCAGCAACCTTGTGAATACACATCATTTTGTCGAGATTTCTAAATCCTTCAAAATATTATACATACAAAGGGCAGCAAATTCACCATGGATTGCTGAAGCAATGGCAATCAAGCATGTAATCAATCTCTCACTCCCTTGGTAGCTGAATTTCGATTACACTGATTAGTCATCCATAATAATGATTTCAACTCACTGAGGAAGTTTCTAATTTTGTGAGCTATAACCTTCTTGAGTTGCCATGTAAAGCTACATGCTAACACTGTTTATTAGATTTCTCTCTTTTCTATTTTCTCCTACCCAGCTCCTCTCCTTTTCTATTTTGAAAGCATATAAATTGATGTTAACTAAAAATTGCTATACTTATGTTTCGGATGGGCTGATTTTCTAATGTTTTCTTTACTGCTCTTCAAAAGTTGAAGAATGTTATTGTCATTATTTATAACCATTGCAATTTCGGATAGTTTGCAGCTGATGAGAACCTGTGAAACAGAATGATAATATCACATTTTAAGATGGAAATCTGATCTTTCTTTCTTTCTTTATTGAAGCTTGTCAAGGGAACCAAATTTATGAAGTTTCTAAATTACTTTGTGTTCAATGCTGACGAGGTCTTTTTGAATGTCGACGAAGTCGAGGTAGATATTTAACTGTCATTTTATGCCTTGTTTAATGATGATGCTTAGTGCGGCAGTTTGATCCACCCATGACTTGCTTTTCCTGAATGTAGCCTTTATTCGGGCTGGGCTTTGCAACCAGACATGACCTAATATTTCGTTTGGAATTGACAGAAGCGTGATTTTGTGCCAGTTTTCGCAAAGGCTTTCATAAATAAAGATCCTGAGCTTAGGGTTATGGTTAGAGGAAGGAGTGAATTTTAGTATTAGGGTCAGAGCTTAGGTAATAACTGTACTGGAGAAAATTGGAATTTTCAATTTAATCAAAACTTGAAAACCATGTCCGGCTGAACTGAACAGTACTCATCTTTAGTAGTGAATTCGATGTCTCACGACCTAGAGCATCTCTAATTGGTCGCTTCTAGGTCATTGGTGAGCTAGCTAGCATAGCACTTTACCTAAGAAAGTTTATTAACATCAAATCGAACTGGGAATCACTTTCATCGCTCATGGTGATGATAACAGCACTCAATTAAGTGAAACTTATTACTCTACAACACAATTAATACATTCCAATAGAGTTCACACAAAATATATGATAACAAACAGTACAGTGGTGCAGTTTAAAAGTATAACTAGTCTCCTAACATTATTTAAAATCAATCTACCGGTTGTTTTAGAAATTTTAATAAATCACTGAGCATCTGTTTCCTTTTACTTTGGGCACCCATAATCCTAAAAAAGACCGGAATCAGGACCTTCAGGTTAGGGGGTAAGCCTATTCACTCACCCACTGAGCTGGAGTCCAATAACTCATAAATTCTAACTTTTGTCGATTAGCAATGAAGACCTACAGCTAACCAACTCCATCGATAAGCGTCCACTTCACACTCACAAAGGTGAATCACATGAGCTTGAAGGTGGCCTGCTTAAAACTTAGGCCACCAAAACCTATCTCTCTCTCAATTGCATATATTTTCTCTCGTTCGATTTGTTCTAATCAATTAAGATATGACCTCTAATGGTATATCTATTCTTGTGTGTGTATTTAAAATGTTTACAAGCTTCTAATTTGTAAGTTTCTACTAAACTTGACGAAAGGCCTGATTGTAGGTGGTAACGTGTTCCAATACATGAGATAATTGTTCTTCAGTTATGTCCTTGGGTCTCAAAATGTACTTCTGAACATGTTACAATTGGCCTTCACAGATAGATCGATATTGTGGATTTCTTGAAGGAGACAAAGCAGATATATCATAATGGAATGGTTTATGCTTCAGCGCTTAGAGACCATTGTGTCACAGGATATATTACTGTCAATTAATATTTTACTTGAAGATATTGTACGAAGGGAAAATATCATGCAGTAAATTCCTCTGAAAATTCGGTACATTTTATAAATACTGTCCAGAATAAAGATATTATTATTATTATTAACTATTGACATCTATTTGGATGTTTCTACTGACTTCCTAGTGATCTTCCTCTTTTCTCCTAGACGGTATATCAATAATTTACAATAATTTATCTATTTATTATTATTTATTATTCCCTTGCGTTCCGAGTGGAACAGAGGGCTTAAACAACCCATCTCGACTTTGTTCAGTTTTCTGCCATCCTCTTCAGCTCGGTCCATCATTGACCAAACTCTCTCATCTCTTCCTCACACGATCTTCTCAATGTCACTCTCTCATTGACGACCCACTCGTCACTTCCGATTCGGATTCCACTCGATCGATGGCCTGCATTGCGCGCGATGTCATTCGACGGTCTCCTCAATATATGCCCGATACATCTGCACTTTCTCCTACAAGTTTGTTGAACAGTCGGCTCTTGCCTGTTGGTTTGTTCCCAGACAGAGTTTTTTGTTACGTATTCTTTCTAGCTGGCCATTTAATCTTCAGTATGGGGCTAGAGAAGGCAGCTGTTGATAAAAGTCTGCAACAGGCTGTTGGAAATCCCTATCGTGACACGCTGGCCAAGTTTTTCACTCGTATGGAAGAACTAACTTGACATTGTTGTTGAAAATGCGAATCTTGTTCCTTATGCTGAGTATGGATGATTTCCAAACTGGTTACAGACTGATGAGGGTGTATCATGCCTTTCTGACTATGACTTTGACATCTTCATCCGTTATGTCACCTATAGTTGAAATATTGCTTCCTGGATAAGTGAAGAAGGTAACTTCTGTAAAATCTCTCCCGTTGATGGTGATTGGTGCTGGTTGTTGTTGTTGCTGCTGCTGCTGTAGTTCTTTGATTATCTTCATCGCCTCCACCTTCTCTTTGTTCATCTGGAGTCCTGACTTTGTTGGCTGCTTCTTCAGCCAATTTGTTGGTTTTCGCCTGCCTGTGTGTCTTCGAGGTTGTATGACATTAGGCATAAGTCATCCACGGGGGAAATCCAGATCTTCTAAAGTCTTCTCACCAGCGAATACAGCGGATTCCGGACTCCTCACCCTCAACAGTCTGACACATAATCCAGTCCACCACAATTAAGAATATCATTGGTGACAACTGACAGTAGAATATCGTGTCACAGGATATACAACTGTCAATTAACATTTTACTGAAAGATGTTGTACGAAGGGAAAATACCATACAACTAACCTACAACCACTGATGAACTGAACAGGATTTTACAAGGATTTCAATTAATTTCAGCATAAACTTCATCACATATTGACCGCTTTCAGAGGATCATTGGAGATCAGGGGGCACTGAACAGCTGTTTCGACTAAGATTAGGAAATTAAAAGCACTGCTCACCTGTAACATAATCTACACTGAAACTAATCGAAATCGAAGATAGTGAATATTCCTCATTTGAGTTTATTTTTATAATAACTCTGTTAAACTGTAATAGGAATGATCAGGTCAGGTTAGTGAATCGGTCGGTCGGTTTTTCACATAGAACTTTGCATATATGTGCGGCAGTTCAAGTCGCCACACTCCATGTAGCACACAAAGCAAGAGAATAAAGTAGGAGAAATGCATAGTATAGACAGTAAACAGAGGTGTGAGACAAATTCTTTTCCAGCCTAGCCCTATATCAGCTAACATTGCCTGCAGGTCGAGGAAGGCGATGACTAGGCATACGTAACACATGTCCTAACCATCTCAGTCAATGTAATTTCACAGTCTCGTCGACTGATTTCCCCGCCTTACCTAGCACTCGACGCCTAACCTCATTATTGCTCACCGTATGATACCACTTCACGCGGGAGATAGAACGCAGACACCTATGATCGAAGACATCTAATCTTTTCATATCTTCCACTCTCAATGGCCAGGTCTCACAGCCATAAAGGAGGACGGAGCGGACTGTTGAGCAGTACACACGCCCTTTGGTCGATAGTCGGATATCACGTCTACGCCAGAGATGGCGTAAACTGGCATATGCGAACCTAGCCCTCTGTATTTGTGCTGAGATTTCTTCAGAAATCAACCCGTTGGCACTGGCTGATGATACTTCCCAAGTAAGTGAAGCGGTCAACATGCTCTACCACTTCACTTGCTATTTCTAGTCTAGGGGTCGGTGAAGTCCAATCCTGCAGCATCATATTACATTTTACAGGGGCGAATCGCATGCCAAACATTCTTAGATTGCTGCTCAAGGTGTTCAGTAGACTCTGCATTTTGTCAGCGTCCTCGCCTAGAAGGACTATATCGTCTGCATATTCTAAGTCGACGAGATTATTCCCTGGTAGCAAGTCAGTCCCTGAGTCGCTGAAGTGTGTTAGTGTTAAGTCCATTAGTACGTCTATAATGAAGTTGAACAGGAATGGGGATAATGGGCATCCTTGACGGACGCCACTAGTCGTCACCACTTCAGATGACTTCAGGTTGGTGAATGATTAGTTGTCAGCCTTAATCACTGGTTTAGTATTTTTCTTCCCATGCGGATACATCACAACTATGACGTATTAATAATCCAGTTACTTCTGAATAAACAGATTTCGTGATGAATGTCCAACAGTTATTTTGTCAAGATTATAAGAATGGAAAAAATAAACAAATAAACGGACAACTTGACTTACTTCTTTATTTAAAGAAACCTCCAATCGTAGAGTGCCAGGACTCATGATAAATTCTTTTAAAACAACTGCAGATGGTTGTGGAGCAGGTTCTTCGGGGGCATAAGTCAATTTACGAATAGCTAGTCGAACAGCATTCCTATTAATTTATGTAGAGTCAGAAAAAATAATAATACATTTATGTAAAATTTGGCCACTGTAATAGTACGTAGTGTTGTAATAATTTATTTATTGGATAGTATATCGCACATTGACACTACTGAGACCAGACAAATTCAAAACCTGACTTTTACAGTTCTCCTTCTTCTTCGTGTTCTTTTGCATTTATCGTAAATGGGGAGAAGAAGAATTTTCCAGATGTCCGTCTATCAAACAACTCGCTTATTGGTGCAATCAAAAAATCAATACATAGCCTTCTCATGTTAACTCCAAGTGTATATACAAATTTACATGTATCTGCGGGTGCAGTTACATTGGAAGAGCAAAAAGAAGAAGGGCATATTTACGATTTTCTGAACATGTACCAAAAAGCTTCTGTCTAAAGGGAACAAATGCTTTAAACAGTGCCAGCGTCAGGCATCTCCTTAACATGGACATCGGAAGATCATTCAAAATTATCAATAGGCAAAAGAGTTCAATTATCCTTAAAATTGCTGAAGCCATCTCCATCAAGCGCCTGAAACCTGATTCATGCATTCAGAAAGAAGCAGTTATCAGTCTTTCCTTTCCCTACCTGGTTGCTGGATATTTTCACCTCTCTTTCATCTGATTACGTAATGTCGAAAGTTTCCATTGTGTATGATCATTACTGTTCGGAATAGAGTTTAATATTATGTATATATATAACATGCTTGCAATTTTTTTCATGATTTCAGTTATAAGGAGGTTTCGCAGTTAGTGAACAGTGCTCAGAAAATTGCTCTTATAGTTTTTACATAGGCAGTTCAACTTTTAACAAAATAAATGCATGCATAAAATGATAAAGGAGTTACGTAATAAAGACAAGAGATGCATAATATGCTGAGTGACTAATAAATTAGGTCACAATATACTGAGTTCAACTGAAATCATAGATACAAGAGACAAGCAAAACTACAGATTATAAAGGGGGGTTGAAGTCAAAGCCAAAGATTACGTAATCAAATAAAAGAGAGAGATAGTGAAGACATCCAGTTACCAGTTACATCTGCATTTCCTTGATATTGTCATGCAACGCCTAGAAAGTGGTAGTCTCTAGAGGTCCATTTACCGAAAGCCGACGCGGAATAGACAATACTGACATTTTAATAGTTGTTGTCCAAATAGCTGATTTGAGTTGAACTCAGTACATTGTTACTTAATTTATTAGTCACTCACCACCTTACGCATCTCTCGTCTTTGTTACATAACTCCTTTACCACTGTGTTTATACATTTATTTTTGTTTAAACTTGAACTGCCTGTGTAAAAACTGTATGAGCGCAATTTTCCGAGCACTGTTCACTAATTGCGAAACTTTCTGTCAACTGACACTATGTAAATTTGCAAGTATGTTAAAACTTTTCTGTACATAAACCCCATAAATTGTTTAGGCTGTAAGCAGCTGATTAGAAACCAACGAAATAAGCAATGATGGTACCGTATTATTCTGCACAAACCACTATTGTTTTTGCTTTATTCAAATTCATCAAGGGGAATAAATGTATGAACAATCCTTAATATTTGTCTTTATTCCTGTGTGGTTGTGTGATGGTGTGGATAATGTGTTGTTATACGACTGTGATTTTATTTGAGTGAGTGAGTGAACGAGTGAAGGTCATTCTGCCTTTGAACAGTCTATAGGAATTGTCAGTGTGTGAGAGAGAGTTCTTATCCCACCTTGATGAGAATATTCCACTTGAGTCTAAGTTACTTCTTACGGTTGAATTTTGGTTAACCTATTTGCGTTCTACAGAGCATGTTTTATACTAGAGACTTATCTAGCCTGTATAGCCTGCCCAACGGCACTGTTACGGTGGTTTTGAGTTTTGCATGTTATTACCACTGTTGAACAGAAGCACAGATTCCAGGAACGAATAGTCGTATTTTTGTTGTGTTAGGAGTGTTTTGTGACTGTGCGTCTCTCAAGGATATTTTAGTCAGCTATGCAGTAAGATGCCAAGATCAATTTCTTAAGTTCAGACAACAACAACAACAAGTTAGTTTGCAGGACTTTCATCATGAGCTGACATTGGTTAGAGAACCATTGGAAAACCTGCAGGGAGTACTCCACAGCTGTTTCGTCCTAGTTTGTGGCTCTTCATCAGTTCGCACCCACTGAGATTCGAACCCAGGACCTTCTGGTTACAAGGCGAGCTCGTAGACCATTGAGCCACTGGGACCCGCTCCAGTGGCCAGCCCATGAATTCTAACATCTGCCAATTCACGACAAAGCGCGACCCCTAGCCAGTTAGTTTCATTCATTGCATTTGATATATCACTCATTGGATGACAATACTGTTTCACTATTGTGTGATATATTATCCAATCAAAAAATTAATTGAATATCCCAAAAAGAAACGCAACACACGCACACAATTATGAGAAAACTGTAAAACAAGGTAAAAACAAAAATATGAAGTCAATATTGAACTCAACTCAAAGTAAAACGCATGATCACTGCTTAATATTTACAAATGAAACAAACATTTCGATAATGCAAGAAATACTAAAGTTGATCAGCGAAAACTGACGTCATTTTATTTATTTAAGTCTCTCATTTCCATTGGTCACTGCATTTTGATTTTGGCTACACTGATTGCGCAATCATCCAGATTAATGATTTCACTTGTCATTGAGCTAATTTCAGTCATATGAGCTAACATGAATTAGAGAACCATTGGAAAACTACCAGGTGTTTCATCAGTCTAGTTTGCTACTCTTCATCAGTATGCACCCACTCCACTGCAAGGGTTCAAACTCAGGGCCTTCTGGTTGCAAGGCGAGTGAGCTCGTAGACCATTAAGCCACTGAGACCCGACTGATCCAATGACCAGCCCATGAGTTCTAACTTCTGCTAATTCATGACATAGCGCGACCGCTAGCCAATGTCTTCAGTAACCCTATTTAGGTTCTTGTGGGAAGTCTTGACCAGAAATGTACAGCAGGTCGCGTGTGAGGAAAAATACTCGCCGAAGACATTGGCTAGCGGTTGTGCTATGTCGTAAATTGGCGGAATTTAGAATTCATGGGCCATTGGAAGGGATCCCAGTGGCTCAATGGTCTAAGAGCTCGCTTGCCTCGTAACCAGATGGTCCTGGGTTCAAACCCCTGTGGTAGGTGCGTACCGATGAAAAGCCCCAAACGAGGCTGACGAAACGGCTGTCCATTACTCCTAGGTTGTTTCCCAACGGTTCTCTAACCGATGTCAGCTCATGATGATGAAATCCTGTAACCAGTCAATCAAATCCCTACAAACTAATAGTTGAAAATTCAATCATATGAACTATAACTTTTTTTCAGTTGCTGTATAACATTTTAATCTAACGTTTATTACCTTCTCCTACTCCATGCCTAATCGTTGATGACTTGAACTGGAATTTACAGACATTCTGTCGGCTATCATTCCAACACTGAAGTGTACCATTTCCCTTCTTTTATAACCATAATAATTTCAGGTAGTCTGCAGGTCATACCAGAGAACCTGTGATCAAAGAATGATGTCATTTTATTTTTGATTGGACAGTACCTAGTAACTAGTGTAATTTTTCTAGTCCTATCTTTGGCGCAAACACTCAAATTCTATCAGTCATGTCAACAATGTGGCCACCATGCCACTAAGTAGAGCTCACCATCATGGTGGTAAGGTCTCTGACTACAGACTGTACTGGGTGACACGGGTTCGAATCTCAAGAGGGACATGAGGAGTTCCTTCAAGGTTGCAGATACGCCTTGCTGACTGCCAGCCAACAAGCAAGCACGAAACGCAAGTCAGGCTTAACTTCCTGCAGATCGCTGCCAACCATTTACCAGTACTTTATTCTACAAATTCAGTCTTTCTTGTTTTATAGAAATTAATTAAGGGGAAACACGTGTAGATAAAAAAAAGATATTATTATTTTGCGGTCATTATTATTGTTACTGTTATTATCATTATTATTATTATGAATGTTATAGAATAACATATAAATCACCAAAATAAAAAGCCAGAAAAGAAAATAATTAGCAAATGAATTCTCCCAGGTAAAAACAAAAATAAAAACAAAAGTAAGGGAAACAGTAAAACATATTATTTCCACCAAGAAATGTGTCTTATTACCAATGGATATGTTATAACATATATATATATATAATATCCTGCCTTTTTAAAAGAAAACCGTACACAAAAACACGAATTCCATGGGGAAAAATTCAGCTAACACGTACCACTACTGTGTTACTCTTTAAAAAAAAGAAAATATCATGTGTGAATTGACTGCAAATCCGACTGACCATGATGTTTATTCAGTTTATTATGAGAAAGTCTGTAGGTAGCCAAAAATATATCACCATTTAGGATTATTTATTATTTTATTTCTGTAGGTCTCCACGCCCACCCCACCCGCGCCGGTGGAACATACGGCGTCAAGCTTAGCGAAGTAAATCAGTGCGTCTGTGACTGACCGTGGATCGAACCATGGACCATATGAACTGTTGGAGAGTGTTCTACTGTTGAACCATCAATGCACACCATTTATGAAGTAGAATAAACAAAATAATAAGTCAGTTTGTCTGTCTGTCTGGATTCAACATAGAACTTGGCACCGAAGTGCAGCAGTTCGATTTGCCACGTTCCAAATAGCACACAAAGGTAGACAAGAAAATGAGTGATGAAGAGAATCAATAGAGTTTTGACAAGTATAAGAGTGAAACAGAATGAGTAATGGTAGAAAGGAATATGAAAGATTACAGAGACTGAATACATCTGCATAAGCCATTGACAACGATTTTGAGCCATGTCACCTATTGTCTCCAGCCATTGATTCTTAGAGTCCCGAGGGCCCCAAACCGGAAGTCTGCATCTCCCTACCTCACTCAGTTTAACTGTCAAGGATTTCATGGATTGATGCCATGTTTTTGTTTGGCCACCACTTACTCTTTTCCAACCTGCACCTATATCAGCTAGTAATGCCCGTCCGTCGGG